CACCAATTCAATCAAAATTGACGGAGACGATTTGGAAGATGTAAAAGCCTCTACATATTTGGGCAGCATCATTGATGAACAAGGTGGATCTGATGCAGATGTGAAGGCGCGGGCAACGCGTGGGAATCGGTAAGAGTGGGTGATTAGCCTGATCTTCACCACCCGGGTTACCGCTCACGTTAGTTCATGAGTCATTCGTCTCACAACCCAGGAGGCACGACGCAGACGTGTGAGTCGGATTTTGTATCCCTTTGCTAGAGGTGCGCTCAGTATAACTAATCGGCTTAGTATCAAAATCGAAAACTTACAAATTAATTTATTTTGGGGACTAATTTACTACTAAATATAAATTATCGTAGTTAATCACCCTAATTACATTTCGTTAATTTCACTAGTTTCTATTACTTACGTGTTCATATAACTTGTCAAATATATTTTCATGAATTTATAGGACACAGCCAGATGATCTGATTATGACATTTTTATTGTCATTCGGAACAAATTTATTAGTGTCTACTTAGTATAAAAGTCACCTCTTCAGTTATGAAATATACGTTATATCAGTTTGTTCATATGTATTTGTTTGTAAGTGATAGTCTTCGTAACTTTCGTTGTCTTTAATTCAATTGAAAACATGTCAAAATCCTTTTATGAGGAAACTTTAAGAATCTTTGCAAAAGTGACATTCAAATCGATTGATAATCAGTAAACACATAGACGTGGATCCAAGTTATCAAAAAATACCGAAGTCGACCAATTACACAACCAGAGTGGAATGTTGAATGTTGTAGCAGTAAATAAATCCTCGAAATAAATAGCTCTGTAAGTTTTCGACATTAGAAGCTGACCATATGTTTTAGTGGACTCATCTAGCTGAAGGCGCTCGGTCATGCATCCGCACCAGATCACGTGTAGTAACGCTGTGCTCAACATCTACCGCAGTCGCTGGCCAGATTAGATCAGAGAATTCCGATATATCGGTAATCGCCAAATACACTCTTCCGATCTCTTCGACCCTGTCTTTTGATTTCTCTGGGTGGGAACGAAATATATTAGGTGTTACTGGTAAAAGCGTTGTCAAACACTGAATACTTGTGTCATCTTCAATGTAATACAAATGAAAGCAACATAACCTACTATGACTACCATTTACACACATGGTTATAGGAAAGAATTCACTTCGTGAAATAGGCACTAGCTGTATTGTCCATTACGACAATGAAAACTCAATAATCAAACTGTTTGGCTCAGAGAACACAATAACACAAAAAATATAAGCTTGAGCTGTAAATCTTCTCTACCATTTCAAAGACCGGATGTATTTTTATGGTAATGTTGACAACTATTCAGTAGAATAAAAAATATTCTGTCCATTTTTAATGTGTTTTTTTCAGATAAATGTTGTGTTTGTTCAAAGGGTATATATGAAGACTTGTGTTTATGTCCATAGTTTCGTTATTATAACCGCTATGAATATACATAATCAGTGGATAAGATTCACAAATTTGAAGCCAGTTTATATTCCTCTCCTTTGAGTATACTCATTTCGTGTAAAAACAAATGTCTTATGCTTCGACAAATGACATGTTTTAACTTATAAAAGAATATCTTAAGATGAGGCAAAGATGATCTTCATTTCTATTAGTCCTCAATACAGCATTGTCTTTATTTTACTGTTCAGTCAGTTGAGAAAACATGGCAAGAAGATTAAATCTCTGTTATTCAGCTATTATCATGACTCAAATTTATAATAATAATAATAATAATAATAATAATAATAATAATAATAATAATAATAATAATATAGAGTAAGTTCTTGACGAACCAGCAACACAAAATACTACAATACGCACATAACTACTGAATAATTGAAGAGGAATTGAATAATATATTCTCATTCAATTAACAATAGCTTAAAGAACAAAAGAGAAAAAAACATCCGACAATGGTTAATGAGGCATATGAAACCTTACAACTAAGAAAATATAAGAATATAATAATGTAATTATCTTTTAACTATAAGCAGTAAAATATAAGCAATAATTTTACGTAAGTTTCTAAAAGTTATAACCTTCACAATACTCTCATCGTTCTGTCTTGTATTCTAAATTTGAACAGTCTATAAATTAGTCTTCAATTTAAATCACTGACAAAAAGAATAGAAGATAAGATAAAATTGTTGTATCCTGACGAGAATTATAAATGATAACATTTGAGAATTATTTGTATACCAATACGATACGTATACTTTTATTGTATAATGGTTAAGTAACTAAATTATTCATATTTATGTTCCTTTTATTACAAGTTTTATTTTGACCTATAGACTATTATTATACGATTTACTGTTTTTGAGTAATACCCAGTCTTTCAATTACAGACTACCACATTCACAGCCACTTTTGACTAGATCTTGTACAAATGTTATTATTTTCTGTTTTATGAAACGATGAGGTCTATTTGGTTTGTATATGAACCCGAGATGAGTATACAGTTATGTCCAATTGAAATTTCTTTATTAAAAAACGTAGTTACTCAATCCTAGAACAGTCATGTTAGTAAAGCTGTTGTAAAAGTTATTCTTACAAGTTTAAACACCGGTAGATTGTGTGATTAGATTATCGTGTAAATGCAGTTGGAAGCAATGAGAAAGACATCATGCTAACGATCATAGTCTTTGAGTAAATTTCACCCTATAAGTTGAGAATGACGTTTCAGATTGACCAAGATTCAGATGAAACTAATGACTGTCTCTATGTGAGCGTATCTGTGTAAATTTCCCATCTTACTAATCACTAGTCTGTAACTCATTTTTGCTGACTATAAATATCGATCCATGCTTTGGTTAAATGAGTTGTCTTACAAACCTTCTCCGCCGTGCCTAATTTCACTTCACTCTCCTATCTTCACTCCGTTTCTCTGATCGCTTGTTTGAATTAACGATTGCATGGAATACACGCATTCGAAAACCATTCTCATATTTGACTTATTTAATTCTGTTTACAGCTAATGTGAGTTAAGTCAATTCACGACATGTATACTTCCAGTGTTGTTCTTAACTCTTTGAAACGTACGCACGTCCCCACGTTGGAGTTCGAAATTTCGATGTGTCTCTGCTTTCCAACAGAGTAATAAATCTATCAAATCAAGTACAGAGACGAGCTACCAAGTGTGTGACATAGCTAATTCGTCAATCTTACGAGGACAGACTCCAACACTTTGGACTGTTCTCTTTGTACAATAGGAGAAGAGATGATCTGATAACAGCATACAACATGTTAAGTGATCCAAGCCGTCGAAATGCGAGCATATCTACAGAACATCACCGCAGAGCTCCTCAGAGGGATTGTCCAAGAACTGAACATCCAAGAGGAAAAACCAAAGTATGGTCCCACATTTTGTCATTGGGAATTGCCATTATTTGGTATAGTCACGAAGCTGAAATGACCACAGCCCCTTCAGTTGAAGGGTTCAGGCGGAGACTTGATAGCATCCGATCTGCACTAAGAAGGACTTGACACACATGACATTGATCACCATTCAGTGGCAACGTTTCTGACTGTGAAGCTGGTTGGCACGGGATCGAATTTGTCAGGGAGCACCAGTTCCCTCAAGATTACAGGTGCACCTTGCTGACGGGTGCCGTGTAGCACGAAACCTGGCTATAGGGTTTCCTGTTGACTACCTCCAACCACTATCATACATGATCAATATGCACACATCCGTGGAATAAAATCTTCCTCTTGGAACAACTATCCAATGTATGTCACATGTTATACAACGGCTATCACTAAAATATATCATTAACTGTCCTCTATCTTGATCATAATAATCCCAGGTTCCCTTCTTATTCTTTCGATTTGATCTGCTCACAGTCTGAGTTAACGATCAACCAAAAGACTTATTTGCTTATTGTTTGAACTAACCTCTTATTTGAAGACCAATTACCAATTGATTACTTTTCACAATGTATTTGGTCAACCTCCTGCCTAGTAATTGAATAACCACTAGCGCATTGAATCCCCATCTCCCTGAAAAACGCACTCACTGTCCATTGGGTATTACTAAAATCTGAATCCGTAACAAAATAACGAGAAGCAAAAGCAAAGAAGTCAACTGCTGTACACATGATGTCACTTTGATAATAGGTCGGTTAAATATTGGTTATTGTACACGGTTACAAATACTCTGCCAATTTTTCAACGTGTGCGTTACACCACGAGTAATTTACTTTCCTTCGTCTCGTGGATGTACTACCCCAAAAAAACGAGGTTCTTTCTGTATAACCTCGAATTTTGTACATCGACAGACGTTTGACGACTCAGTTTGCTCGGAAAATGGTAACTAAGAAAATTATAAATGTGTTGGTAGAAATGTATATTAACATTCTGTTGATGTTAAATATGGTTTTATTTTAACATAGTTCCTTACGAATCCTTATTCTATTAGCGAGAATTTAATTTGCTTTTTTTGTATCCACTCGGTGTTCTAATTTAGAATAAGGCAAGTTAAGGTGACACTTATTTGTGTCGGCATTGTGTTTTTACCGTCACCTCATTCCTGATTTATCCAACACCACATCAGTGTGACTAGTGACCAAATGGTAACACATATAGGGATCAAAGTATACTGTACACCTGTGCATTAATCAGCTGATGTACCTAATTTTAAAATGTCTTTCCTAACCAATATTAAACATTACGTTTGGTATGTTTTAAAGAGCGTGGGCCGTTATATGTAGCGTTTTCATTTAGTTCCCCTTCAATAAATATCTTACGGCTACAAATAAAAACCTGGCCTTATGATCTATCATTATTTGTTGAGAACTAATTTTACAAGTAAATATAAGATTCATCAGGATTCTTGTCTATTCACCTAAGTAGTTTTTTCCTGGGTTTTAGACTTTCGGCATAGTTATGTGTTTTACCACAATGCTCATGACCATTGGTGCCAATTACGTTGTGGTCCACTTTCAATCCTAAGCAATCAGAACCATTGTAATGGAGAGTGAGTTTTTAATGTTTTAATCGTTTCTTCACATCTACAGAATCAAAAAATTGTTTGAGAAACCTTTTATCCACTAATCCCGTTGCAAGAATACTATTGAGTAGTGAGGGGAGTCCGAATCACTGTGAAACTGTTGTTGTAGACTACAGGTACTTTTTCTTTAAGTGAACTAATATTTTCATCAATCTCTTTTCCCTTTGTTCTGCCTTCATCAACATTAGCTCCCCAAATATTGCTAAACCATTTCACCTGGGGCATTTCCGAGCTACTGTAACAGGAAATTTTGTCAAAAACATCAATGAAGCTTTTGGACATAAAGTAATTGGAATAAATTACATTGGTGATTGGGGTACTCAATTCGGTAACTATTTTGTATGCTTTGTACACTTTCTCTAATTTATTTGACCTTTCTAAATGTTTTGAACCTGTTTATAAATGCTGTAGGTGGAGATAATTTCAGCTGCTATCTGTTTTTTGTCAGTATTGTATTATCTGAGCTATATAATTTTGTTTTGAAACATCACCATTCGAAATATCTTCTGCTCCTGCCTCTACATGAATTGAGTTTGTATGCACCATAGGATAACTAGCATTCAGAAAAAGGCAGCAGACTTTTATACGGTTACACCATCATCTATTTAAATCCTTAATTAAGCCGTAGATAGAGAACGCCATAATACATTGTGATATATGCAAATCTGTAAACGATAACCGAGTAATCTAGCTTTCAAATATTAAGTTCTTATTGGTTTGCTAATATCCCAGCCTGATGCCTCGACCTGCACATTCATATTATGTAATCGAAAATCCTTAGTTACAACGTGGTTACAATACTGGGTAACCGAATAAGATAATGAGTGGATCTCGCCACTAACTTTCATCTCTACAAAATTGATGAGTTGGGGACATTCAGGTTTATCATGTACCTAAGCTCACAAAGCCAAACGATAAGTATAGGATGAAAAATAAATCCATACTACCGGATCAACCCGGTATTAAACTTAACAAAGGTCTTAGCTTATACGTCCTTACCTTACCGCCAGTAGAAGGACAAAAGCATATATTCTACCTAGTTTCATTCCCGTAACATGTTAGGCAGTGTGTGTTTATGGTTCTGAATCGTAAGAATTCTCAAAGTGACGAAAACCAAGTGGGTTACATAAATCAATCATCCGATTATAACTAGTGCTACATTGCCCAGTAACTAAACTCATTATTTCTTCGATAGATTTGATTCAAAACTGTTAATTATGCCAATAAAAATTTGGCGACTGATTTAAGTAATACCGTACAAATGTCTGTGGTTACCGAGCTGTTTATTAAGCGACATATGAATTTCACCCTCTCATAGTCAAAAACCCCACCTGAAAACCTTATTAGTTTAGTTCTTAGTGAAACAATTTGTCTAAAACAAAGCGTTATATAATTTCTTTAAAATCACTCTATTTAATACTATAAACTTTCATAAATAAATAAATAACCCCTAGATATCTTAGCATCGGGATTTTCAAAATACGGGGATCAGATTGAATTGCGAAGAAATCCCATTGAACACTTATATAAAGTAAGTATGTGTCAATTAAAAATATCTGTGTTTTATTGTTGTCTTACAAACCTATATTCAGAATATTTCACTCGTAACAGTGTCATTTTGAATAGATCAGTTTTTTCAATTTTTAATAGTGAGATGGACGATGTCAAATTACTGTTAAAACGACATAAGAGTAATAAATAAATCAATATATGAATCCCCTCTGTTGTTACTGCTTACTACATAAGTAAACAACTAGTTAGGTTGTTAGACATGTAGTACGAAGCAGACGTTTTCCATGAAGTATTTTCGCTAATGGTCAGGACTAAGCTCCTAACATTAAATGACATCTGCTGGAAAACGGGGAGTATCAAGTCGTTAACCACTGAGTTCAAGTAGACTCTAACTTATTCAACGGCTGTGAACTTATTCATAAAGGTTTGTACTTTTCCTTTGTTGATGTTAAAGACTTCAATTGACCAATCTCTACTGGAATACGTGTTCGCTGAGTAGATTGCCTCAATATTAATCACAAGTTGTATCAAATGTGAATAACACATTAGCAATTAGAACTATGGGTACTAGGTTCAGTTCACAATTTTGAACATCAACATTGGATACAGGCATTTTCTGCTGGCAAGTTTTAGATCGAATAAATCGCCTTTCTTGAATTCCGCCGCTACTAGCCATAGTCCAAATTGATTAAAACTGACGACAAAACAGCAGCATTAAAATGATGCTCTGAGGATACACATAGCCAACAGACACTGATCAATTACAATCGTTAACATCAACAATGAGGAAATAATATCCGTTATAAAAAAGAGGTTTTCTACCATTTTATTTTACTACAACAGGTCTATGTACAAGCGAATCGTGATATTCAATCAAATGAAAAAAATCGACCATATGGAATCGATCATGGAAATCAATCAGTTAACTTTTCCAAACCAATACCCAATAATACAACTGAAATACAATCTCGTGATACTGAATTCTGGCGATATATTCGTGAAGTAACTTGTGAACAGTTGCAATCAAATTATCAGGTAAAAAAGAATTACTATTTTATTATACATGTTATTATTGTCATTATCTTCTTTACATTATTTTGTTTCCTGGTACTGTTCAGTAGTTGTAATTAAAGCTTGTTGATAGAACCTTTACTCAGTTATATAGGGGCGGTCAAACAAAAACGTGGTGTCAGTCCACAAAGTCATTAACTTTTGCTTTTAGCTATGTTGGTAGATACAGACCACTTGTTTAGGATCCGCGCGACTATCGTAACCAATCGTTGGAGACTCTGGGTGACATGGCTCAGAATCGATCACAATTGCGTAAGTGTATACAATCTTTGTCTTCTCTTAAACCGTGAGATTAAAATACTTTACCTTTCTTTCTACAAACAGATTTTTATCCCTGTATCATATCCTTATATACAGTCTTCCTTTTACACATCAATACCATTGAAGTGTCTGGTTCTATGAATTTGGTGTTCATGTTGTTGTGCTGATGAGGTGTAGCAACTCGAACTGATCTATATGTGTGCCTGGTCGTTCGTTTTAGCTGACTGATATATTTCTGTCTTTATTACGTAAAAATAATTAAAAATGCTTGAACTATGTATCTTTATTCTAATCGTCTATAACAATAAATTAATATCAGTTAGGAGGGTAGCTACTAAATAAAACAGGTTTTTTCTTCTAAAAAAGGAACACATCAATGTACAGATCAGACGTAATTGGAAGTTATTCAACATATGTGAATAACTAAAGAATATGATAACTGTAGGTCATTCACTTTTAAATGAAATCAAGCTCAATTCACATGGCGTCATATTAATCTTTGATTATTAATTCTAGATACCTCATTGCCTTTTGCGCTGATTTTTCACAATGAAAAATATAATTAATTCATCAATAACAACAATAACACTTTTAATAAGGAAACCTATAAGGAATTTTAATTAACTAGGCTCAGGGAAACTAAGTAGTTTTAACGGCTAACTGCAATCGGCTAAGTCATAGGTTTGAATCTCCTTAAGGTTAGTGAATGTCATTTCATTTTATTACATCAAACAACATACCAGCAGAACAGAATAATACGTGGTATATTTATAGGTCTATTTGTTATTACGTCATACTTCTCTTGATTGCAAAAGTTAACTTTAATGTGCAGTCAGTAAAATTATATGTGACCGGCTAGTCGGCGTAAACAAATTGACACACAAGTGTGTTAAATTTATGGGACAGTTTCAAGTTGAATATTAATTTTTACGATTGTTATGTACTCTAGGTTTCATTGTGTATGAGCTACTTGTATTTGTGTTAATGAAACTTGTCTAACCTATGATCTGGTTCTCAGTTGTGTTGTTCTTGAATTCTGTATCGTTGTATATTATGATCTCTCGTTTAGTGGTGTATTATCTACTGTTGTATTATATACCTAGTATCGACAAAGTGTTTATTATTTTTGTAGTTACAACAGTATCTTAAATAAAAGTAATCCATATGAACTAAAAATAGGAGGGTATTCAACTACAAAACAGGATAAACAAATTGCATAAGTTTTTATATCAACACTATCGATCTTGGTGTCATTCACTAGTAGTTTTCATCATATCAAAATCTGTTCGCCCTAGCATCCGTTAATTATCTGAATCAGTTGTGGATCGATAGTCACTAATTTAACAAGATCTCCAACAACTCTGAAAGATTCGAAGAATGAACAAAAACTGCAAATAACTGTAACAAGGGTTAAGAGAGTATAATTACTCTGACAAAGAAAATGCATATTATTAGTTTAGTTAAGAATATTACAAAAGAAATAAACGTACGCTGCATCATACATTCAGAAATTATTAGAAATGAAACGGGTTACTGAATAATAAAAGTAGTATATATGAATACACAAAAATGAGTTGAGTGGGAAAAGACGGATGATGCAAACGAGGTTAACATTTATTCTTTTCTAAATTCATTTGTTCTTGTCTCAATATTCTCCAATTATACCAGTGAGTTGATCATTTTAAACTTTGTGTTTCCTAACTATCCTAATAGCGTATGAATATTCAATTTACAAGTTACGAATATGAATCCGATTATGTGGAGAAGGCTTATTCACTTGCTAACATGTTACTAGCCAATGGGTTAGCTTACAAAAGTTCGTAAGTTGCTTTGACTTTAATATATTGTCAAATAATTTATAATTTAGTCATTGTTTTGGATGAGGGATAATTTCTAAAGACAATTAAACAAAAGTATTTCATACTAACGACCTTAGTCTTCTTATCACCCAATCAGAAAGCAATGCCTAGTTATAAAACAATGAACAATAAAATGAAATAAATCTGCAGTTAAGTAGTGAACTTGAAACGATCAAGAGTCCGTGAGTTGAATTTATGACCCTATAGGGTCTTTTTTACCAAGTGACATTAAATATAATTCGAAAAACGTCAGAGTTAGATAATAAGAATTAAACCAGTGTTATTATGTACTGGGATTACGAATTAAGCTTAGGATACTTGTCAACAACTGTCATGAGTTTTAATTCAACGTGTCATTGACACACTTTGTCTTACAAGCTTAAAAGACATCGGTTTGAGGTTCAGAGTTGGGAGTTGAAGTACAGGAATATTATCTAGAGATACAAGCACTCTTAACTATGCACTGAATCACAAAAAGTACTTTACTGCACAATCTACTTCAGGAACAGGTGTTTCTTGTAATTAGAATTGAGCACTATATCACATTCATTGTCTGGTTGTATAGTAGCTATTTCTTCTTATCAATTTCATGTATTTTATTAGTCAACTATTGCCAATTTTTATTTAAATTCGATGGTTGAGATCATGAGTCAATTGAAGCTAAACCATCATGGAAAACCTAGAAGCACTGGACGTCCGTTTCATCCTATTGTGGGACTCCTCAGCGCAAGTGAGACTGATAGGTCCTGGGTTCGAAACTCGCGAGGCGGGATCGTGGATATGCACTGCTGAGTAGTCTCATAATAGGACGAAACGGCCGTCCAGTGCTTCCATGTTTTCCACGGTGGTCTAGCTTCAATTGACTCATGATCTTAACCATTGAAATTACTATAATATCAACAAGAACCTTTCCGATATTAACTTTTATTTAGTTAATTCCAATATACAAGCTAACTAGCACTGTGCCTTTAATTGTGCGAAAGATATATGTGGTTTTATCTTGATTCTGATTAGTTTATTCAGAGTTGATATTATAATGTAATTTTACCAAAAATCTTCCTGTATAGTATTTGTAAAGGTTTGTATTTTCTCGTTGATATTGATGATTGTATCTGATAAATCTCTATTAAGATATGTATATCCAGAGCAAATTACCTCACTGTTGTAGAAAATTGGAAAACGCGAACCCTTACAAACAAAACGTATAGCTGTTGCATAAGCTAGTGGCCATCCTGACTCAGTATCTCAGTAGATAAAGCGTCCATATTTGATGGAATACACAGTGGACTCGAGTATCGATGTGAAAATTAACATGGATTCATTTACATTTAACTAAAAAGTCCCATCTGGGATGAAACGCATCGTAGATTCCATCCTTAGTCAAAATCTGACTTTTCTCAGACGTTTTGATTTGAGATAGACACACGTAGATACCTGGATTTGTTACGTATGATATCTGATCATTGGACTTTGAGAATTTATAATGGTCGGTTGACTGCTCGCTTGTACTTCTGCACGTTCTGTTAACTTATCACAAGGCCTAGGTCACAGAAGTCGGTTTTCTGACTGGTGGTTTTATTAAGTGATAATTGACAGGGGCAAACGTCATAATACCCTTAGGTATTCTAACCTGTATTACCCATCGTTTCGTTCATAGACGTCAACACTATTCATTTATTCCAAACTTATCTTTTTATAACCACTGTTTTCACCATTTAATTACTGATTTGTGGTAATCCAACAACATATAGGATGCACTATGTATTGTAGTGTTATTAAGTTATTTGATCAAGTACGGTAAGGTAAATAGTAGAATGTACTTTCACTGTATAATCCATTGTTATACTAGTTATCTATTTCATTTTTGTGTTATTGTATTTTTGTTTTCAGTGATGGACTGACTTGTATGTCGACAGCAAACAATAATGATGTGAATTTTTCGAATCAAAATATTATCCTATTAAAAAGTGATAAGTCAACTTTATATTTAACCAGGTAAATAACTTAAACAATTAATTTTTTTAACACTTCTTTATAATTAGGCTTGCTTATCTATACTTCATCATATTGTTACTAGGATCTCTTTTATGTGTCTGTCAGTCAGTCAGTCAGTAACAACGTAGAACTTCGTACGTACGTACATCAGCTCGAGTCGCCATACCACATTAGTACAGAGATGCAGTTGTCGGTTCAAATCCCGTAGTGGTAGAGGTAGTAAAAGTATGAGCAGTAATAGGAAAGATTAGGGTTTGGAGATGTTATTGAAAGAGTATATATGTAGCTTGCTTTTTTTATAATGCATAGTTTTCTTTTTAACTCACAGGGATATAGCGGCGGCAATTTCTCGTTACGAAAAATACCATTTCGATAGGATACATTATGTGGTATGTAATATATTTGTTATATATATATATATATATATGCACGTATTTATGTACTAAAGGTTTTGTCACTATGCAACAAAAGATTAATTCAGTGGTAAAATTCATGTTTCCTCGGCCATTATATTCACAATCATAAGTACAACTTGGAAGTTCGAAAGTTGCTGAAAATAAACATTTCGTCATCAGACAGCTCTCTCTCTCACTCTGGTTTCATGTGTCCAACAAATGATTACCTTTTATATTTTATTTCTATAATCAATGGACAATCGGCCAAAGTAGGTTTTATTCACCAAAAATTAATATCACTTGCGATAGTGATGTCATAAATACTCATTCATGAGGAGTTACATAATAGGACGAAACAGCTGTTTAGCACTCCATAGTTTTCAATGATACCTCAATTGAGATTAATCTGTGACGAATAGAACCTACAAATTTGACGAATCTTCACAAAACCCGTAAAACTGGTTGACCGGAGCACCTAAATTTCTTGTAGTGTTCGGTGACTTTTTGACATGACTACATTATGTGGCTAAAAGACACTTACGTATTAATCCATAAGTTCGACCACCGCTTCACCTAATTTGCTTCATGTGGTTGGATGGCATTACTATCCCATGTCCAAGTACTGTGTTGCTGAAGTTTAAGTGCGTAAGTCGGAATTCGGTTAATAACTTAAATTTCAAGATTATTTCAGTATTATGTTACATGTGAATAGCTCATACTCTCTGTTAATTATGTGTTCATCTCTTATATTTTGGATATAATTTTCCGATTCTTGACTATAGTTGTGTTTCTCGACTTTATGACTCCAGTTAACTCGGTTGACTACTGAGAATTCTCGTAGCAGCATTTGTCATTAAAAGGGCGTACTAATGAAGTTCTTGAACCTTGTAAAAGTTATCCACTCCAGTACCATTTTTCAAGTTAAGGCTTATGGTGAACAATCGTCAGAACTATCAGTCTCATAATGTTGTTCATCAGGGTTACCCGATATCCTTTTTCTTAGTTAATTTCACTATAAATGGTCTAGAAATCACACTTCATTTAACTTCGTAGGGAACCATCTTCTGTCATGAATTCCACTTATCGACTGGAAATACTCAGATGGTATGGCCTCATTTAGTGAAGACGTTTACATAGTTCTTTGTCCTCTGGATACTTTAGGTAGCAATCCAAGCGTGTTTATTGTGAGTTCCTCTCCTTCTAAATTTGAAGTTTGTTTCAGTACTGGTCTGGCTAGAATAGTCGAATCCATTAACCACTTCATTTACGTATCATTAGTCACTGCCTACATCAACAGGCGATATTGTGATGTGACTTTTTGGCTGGCAGATGTTTCAATGTCATGCTAAAACGCCAAGTAAAATGGCTCTTTTTGTGATTTTTATTATGTTTTCTGTAATCCAAATTATTCTTGTTATATTATCTATTAGCCAGCATAATCCCGTTTATTACTTTATTTCAAGGTTGAAATCGGACAGCGTTTACACTTTCAACAACTCAACTATGTTCTCCTAAAAATGGGTTATAATTGGCCAGTTTTGTAAGTATCAATGTTTTTGTATTCAAATGAATTTTCTTCAATGTAGAAGCTGCGGTTGGTTTCAGATATGTGGATGTGTTTCACTTCTTATTCTATTGAAGTTGATCAGCATACTGAGAATTATATAACTGAAAATTTGACTAATTCTGGGTGGTCATTCAGTCCAAATATCCAACTATTAGGTGGTTAAAAGTAGTCAGCAGGATACACTGTTCTTAGGTTCCGTACCACCTGTCACTTGTCATCAATGTATCTACAGTCTTAAGAGCATTGATACTCCCCATATCATTTTGAACTACGTCGCTTAATCTTAAAATCTGAGACGTTACAAATAAAAGATTCCGGCGCCGAACGACCTCCCGTAGGAATCAGATAGTTGCGATTTCTGTGCAACTGAGTAGTGACCAATATCATGTTTGTCCGATTTGATGATTACCAGAAATAAAATGTGCTTGGATGATTCCGAGTTGATAGATGTTGCATTTTAATAAATGTGGTTTATTCAACGAATAAGTAATGTATTAGTAATGATAATGACTGATTAATCCTAAGTTCATTTCTATTTAAACCTTGTTAATGTCAATTAGTGGTTGAATTATAAATCAAACATTTTATCCCATTGCTCGGTGGTGTAGTAAATTTTCTGGTAATGTGTTAGTATAAAAGAGCGCTTAAAATAATTTTGGGGAATTTTCAACCAATTCCTGACCAGTCACAAAACAGCTTTCGTAAATGGATAGTTTATGTAAAAGAAAATAGTAACATTACAGAGCGTAAGTAGATTTTACGTAGTTATTAAGTATACTGAACTGGAACACTGGCTATTGAGCTGATGAGTTATAGTCGCAATCAACTGCGTTAAAGAATTCGATTAAACTAATCCGTCGATATTTATGTGTTTGATTCGTTTTCTTTGTTCTCATTGTTACTGTCTTAATTCTACAGATTACCTGAACACAACATTTTACTCGACTGGGTGTCAGCAGATTAAGTTAGTCGAATTCTCTAATAAGGACAAAAACAGACTCGGTTTGACATCCAGTGTTCCATCTACTTCTAATGATGTAGTTTTTAACAGCATCCCTAAATTTATGTATGGGTCTGAATATGGGAATACCCTTTCAATGTGGTCTGAGTGTCGAGGAGATATGTTCAGTATAGTATTCTGTAGGCAGGTGGATACTTGGAAGACTCGCTTGTTGATGTGAGCTTGCAAACAACAAACATGCATGCTACGTTGACTTGATTATACGGAAGGTACTTCGAGAATTTAGATTCAAGGGGACAGTAACACATCCGAGATGTTCAGGGACTCAGTTTCACTGTTTAGTATTCTACATAAATGTCTTGATATAATATAAAGTGGAGCTGGTGATTACGGTACGCCAGCATTTGATGTCAACCTTAAGTGTGAATATCTCAATTTACGTTCCTTGATGGATAATCAGTTGAAATGTTTAGTGTTCATCAACTCACTACAGTTACCACAGGACCCGTCTTTTGATTCGACTAGTTACCAGTCAGAACAATAGTTGGAAGTTGATGGAAGTATATCCTGAAGATTCAACCAGTATAAGATACAAAATGATAAAAGCATTATTGTTTGTATAATATTCTCATAGGAAGCTTTGGGTATTTAGTATCACTATACTCACTGGAGCTGATTAGTCGGAAAATAAACCAGTCGCCGTGCACTAGTAAAGGCTGTATCCTATGAATATATAGATCGTTTAAAAATTTCTCTAGAGTAATGTTTTCAAAAAATATTCATCACTGGTTCTGATTGACACAAAGCCTAAATAGATTCGAGTTTCCTACCAACTACCTTCAAACACCACTTAATATTTCAACGTAGTACATGTAATATCAAGTCACTTAGATTCGTTGATCGCTTTGTAACTTAATTTATAGAATTGGACCAGCACTTAATGATTAGACAAACATAACAATAGTCATTATTTAGTGATTGTAGATTAGATTATGTTTTGTAACTTACTACATACAACCAGTTTTTGGTATCTTATTTTTCAATCATCAATTAGAATGAAATGTAAGCTTACAGAGAACGTCACTTACAAGCAGTATAATTAAATAAGTCACAGAAAAGTAACGTTTCTACTTAGTCAAAGTAAAGTTGCTTGTTTTTGTTTCGCTCTTAGATCTATGGTCGGTGATGATGTTGATGATAATACTGATAATGATCAGTGTAGTCAATGTGCTCGTAATCTTTTACATATTCCATTCGGTCGAATTATGGGAATGAGTACTAGAAAAGGTGAAGGTTTATTTCTATTGGATATTTTAAATAATGCTCAACAATTTATGCTGAATCGAATGAAATCTTCCCAAAGTAAGCAAACAATCATCTGTGTTTATACATTCAAACTATACTTTTATTTTTAGTCTTTGTAAATAGGAAAAAATAAATACCGTTGTAGCAATGTAATCGTCTTACCCACTTATCACTAAGTTAGTTACAATCATATTAACACGAGAGTATAATTTACTAGATGAATGCCAAATTAATTGAAACAGTGTAGTGATATTGACAATAACAAAGATTAAAGACCCATTTCTCCTTCAAATACTTTGACTTACTTGCAATATCGAGGCTACCCACACAGAATGCACATATACCAAAAGAGACTAATCAGTTGCAGTCTTAAAATATCAATAGGAAGATTCAAACAACTAATAAATATGAATCGATATTCACCCCATTGCACAAATCAGTAGCTTAGTGGATAATGTGATGGTATTTGAAGTGAAAGGTACTGGGTTCGAATTTTAGAGTGAACATTAACTCTGGGTTGCAGGTACATTTATTCCCAAATAGGACCAAACGCGTGTTCTGAATCCCACTGTTAGCCACCATTCATCTCTATTTCAAATTGAAAATATGGCTTGAAAAGAAAGCGTGAGAAGATATGCATAAAAGGATATCGTGACTGAAGACCTAGAGCAACATAATAAGTGTGTCCATCTATCAACTGAATGGTTCTAAGCCATTTAACTCGATATTTACAATCACTAATCACGATTTTCATGTACCCCTTAAATTGATGGTTTACACCTACGTACATATCTTATGAATTCTTGAACTGATTTGATTTGTTACTCACAGCTTTCTAATAACTTCTACACTATCACTGGTAGTGGTTAGACATACATACCATTATTAGTAAAGTATTATTAAACAGAGTAAGTTATTCGCTAGTATATGTGACAGATTATCTTTCAATTATTGATTTAAGTGGTTAGGTTTCATTGCAAACTGTTGTATAAACCAAAGATAACTCATGGAATAAGTTTCTTCCCCCTCCTCTCCTAATTGTTAAACAGTATCTTAACAGTGAAAACATTCAATTTTAAGTAGTATGCCGCAATTACACTTCCATTCTCGTTGGAAACTTCTCAGCAACAGTGTTATATTAAAAAGTTTTCCTAATTTAAACATAACACAATTATTCATTGTTTCCTTGTTTTCACTGATTGTTTAATTAATTTCGGCTCTAATGAAATGATGTTATAGGTTAGGATGAATGCTTAATGATGAACCAGTTTAGAGTTAATAAAACAAATTTGAGTAGAATGTTAATCGGTAGATGAATGAATCAACAAGATTTGATCGTGTGATAATTGCTAATGTGGCTGGATGATAATTGTCTTAAACTCTTAGATTAACTGACATACTTCTGTACAAAGTACTTTTGTAAAGTTGATTCGATATTATAAGTAACTGACGAAAATCCCCTTTTTATACGTCACTCATTCTCCAATAAAATTAAAATCGAAATGTTTAGGGCCCTTATAATTTTCCTCAGTCATATTAAAAGGCTATAATGTTATTTGTTCATTGCAGTAATGTTTAATTAGAATACCGAATTTGTACAACTTGTACAGTGATTTACGGTAAATTTCAGCTAATTAGAAAGCAGCAAATATGATTAAATGAATGAACTATCTTATGAAATTATAGAATTTGCTTTGAATATTTTGAATGATTGTTGGACATCTCCAAGTTGATTGTAGGTTTGTAACTGTTATAGTTTAAGGTTAAGATTCGAGATGAGTTAAAACATATCCTGACTCTAACGCTAACATCAAACACTAATCCTAAACTGGAACCGCAATTCTAATCCTAAATCCTTACCCCGAACCCTAATCTTATATCCTGATCCTAACTCTTCAACACCAAACTCTAATTCTAATTCCAGCCTAACCTTAAATCAATATCTTTCTGTATCATCAATTCAGTACAAGCTTTACTCAGTGTAAGAAATGTGAACTTGTTCAGTGTAACAATTATATTCTGTGTATCAATTCAGGTGAACTGTATTCAATGTGGTTTTATCGTAAGCCTATGCCTTTCCACCTATATGTATGTGATTTAAACGTGTGTGTAAAAATTAGTATAGAAGTAATCTTGTTTCGGTCACGTAATAATTACGTAATTTTAGGAACTTGTTTGAAGAGTCAAGAAACCTTCATGGCACCAGTCTTCTGTGTTTTAACTTCACGTTATGAGAATTGTAGTGGATCTTGTTTCCTCGGTATAAACATTAAGGTCGAGAAATTGCAGTGTTTCCCGATTATCACGTAAAGCAGTGAGACTGCGTGCTCAACAAAGTGGATACTTACATAGCACAAAAGGCTCTCCAAATATAACAGTGGCGACACATCCGACCACCCACTCACAAATGCGCTGATGAATTCATTTATACATTTATTACAAATCCCAACCTTAGTTCTAACTTAAACAAAAACTGCAATATCATTCCATCTCATAAATCTCTTACACTTACACCTATACAGTCATTTCATTCTTGCGTTCACATTGATGAGTGTTGTCCTCACCAATCCACCGTGTTGTAAGTGCCTAATAATATTTGTCCCCATTGAAAATTAGTCATTATACGATCGATAGTCAACATCCTCATTTTATTTTATAATAGTCTCTCTAGATGTCCTGGTTTCCACTACTAGTCATCATCCATCTCTGCTTATTAGTTCTTTATTGTTTTGTTTGATTTTTTTTCTTTCCCTTCGTTAGATACACGAATAACTCAAAATGAATCAGTTAATCCACCATTGTTATGTCAAGATGAAATAGCTGATCATTTAGGTGTAACATGTTTGGTAGCAACAATGTTTGCTTATCCACGTCAAAAACCAATTAATTTACACACATTCCTTGGTTTACCAGTGACATCATCATCATCATCAACAATGAAAAATAGTCATTTGTTGAAATCGTCAGCTGTAAGTGAATTATGCGGATTAACTCTACAATATTGTCATGCAAGACTATGCAGGTATGTATTCGAAAATAAATTTGGTATAATTGACTAATCTAATTCAAAATATACGATATATTTTAAGTGAAAGGATTAATAATTACCTCCGAATAGAAAACTAGTAAATAAAAGAGCATGGCTAAACTCAGACGTGACATCGGTGTATGAAGTAGTTGGAGTCCGCATAATAGCTCCAATCAAAGACTGAGCACATTTGTACACTACTCTTGTCATGGGAAAATAGGTCACATGTGTGTTAAGATCTACGTTGATTATGATTGACTAAATCCATAAAGAAGTTGACAACTGACCTGAGTTTAGTTTTCCTGGTTGGTGTCCGCAGAACTATCATAACAAATGATTACAGACGTTGGATTATGTGACTCAGAATCAGTCTGAATCGCACAAACATACATCCATTCTTTGTCTTCTCTCATATCTTGGGTTTCAAAATTATATTTTTGACTCCACAAATTCATTCTCTCTTCACGAATCATATTTTCTATGCCTAATATCTTTTCTAATGACATTGTTAATTCTCTACTACTCTCGCATTTTTCTTGATATTTTTATCTTTCTGTGTTGATGTGGTTTAGCAACTGATGTACATATTTGCTCAGGTTCTACACTATTTATAACTAACTGATTGACATAAAACTTCATTGGTGTAATCTCCTTATGTTTGTCTACTTGTACCATTTCATATTGCGGACTATTTAATCACTTCTTAATCCGACCATAGAAAGTGGGGTTGTTGTGTTTGTTTACCACTAATCTTGATAGTCCCATCAACACCATACTTCGTTGGTAGCTGACTTGATCTCTCAGGATTGCCTGGAATATTTCAGTCAGTCAGTATTACCTTTACTTTTACATACAATAGCAACTCTTATAGAAAAGTAAGTTTTTATCTAATGATAAAGACCTCTAAATGCTCTGGTACGGCAGAGAGTGGGGAGTGTCAGCTCCTCGAGATGCTCTCACGTGGCCACGCGTATGCAGCCACTGCTAGGGATGTCTTATTTAGTGCCTTCTCGTGGCGTTGTTGTTTATGAAATTGAGAGGATGAAAAGCGAATGTTCGGCGCTTTAACCGGGTTTAGTGGATATGCAGGATTCATCTAGGGGAGTTGGAAAACCCTGATTCCATACCAGTGGTGCCTATGAACTCCAGGGTCCTGATGGAACAAAAGACATGTAGTGTCCGTTACTATGTTAAGCCCACATAACTTATTCTACCTTCAGGATAGGCCAGTTCATCCTTTCTTCTTGAGGCACGTCTTGATTTTGTTAATTATTCACTTATCAACCTTGACTGTTTTTATATGAGCGCACTTTTTATTCTATTCATCACATGTCTGCAACTTATATTTATCTGGCTATAAATATTGATTGACGCTTGAATAAATGGAGTTGGCTCACATGCCTTCTCCATCGCGCATCATTTCGTTTTGCTTCGTTCCTTTGATCGTCTACCTGGACCAATGATTGTACAAAATGTATTTATTTGAAATTCATTCTCATACTTGACTTATTTATTTCCATTATTCTCTAACGCGGTCAAAGTGGATGATTATATTCGAGAATAGCCAGGATGTATATTTTGACAACAACTGTCCATACGATGTAGATGGGGTCAGATATAGGGTCGCTAAAGGCATATGAACCTATAGTTGGTCACCGGTTACCATGGAGCCGCATCTCCCAACATTGCTCCACTACCTCGTGGATTCGACTTCTAGTTCAAAGGCTGCGTATATATATATATATTTGGTGCTTCCTTGTACCAATGTTTGTGTTTAAATGAATAAATAAATGATAATGGACCAAATTATTCGACTGAACATAGATTATTCTAGAGATACATTCATTGCCAATAATTTAATGAAAAATGATATTCGCTTGATTATTATTATTACTTCGACTTCCTTGCCTTTTATTTAAAGCCTAGAATCTCGTTCAATTTCGTCCGGTCTATTCCCATTCAAGGTTAATAGCAGTGATCCAACATCAATTGTGTTTGACATGGATCACCTTATTCATGAATTTGATCAATTTAAAGAGTGGCCTTCAACAACAATTAATGAAAAATCTTTTGTAAAATTGGCTGATCAGTTGTGCAGGTCAGGTTGCTTTTAAATGTTATCTAGTTGATAGTAAAAGCTGAGAATGTAAACAATATGATCATTAACTATATTTTAAAGTAGTATACCACAAGACTGACTATGATATGTGTGCATGTGATTAGTGGTATTCCTCGTTTTCACTTTCGAAAATCTAACAGCTGTGTAGTTAGGGTCTCTGATACCTTGATTTCATTGTAACAATACTATGAAGCTGTTAACTTGTTATTACAATGATGATTAATTGATCGCTATAACCTTTGTTCGTAGAATCCTTACAAATGCTCATAGGACTTATCTGTTATCTATCATCCCTTCTCAACTGTATACCTCTTGTCAAACGAACATGATAATAACAAATCCACGATAAACTTAACAGTTGTTTGTGCATATACAGTCATCCTATCCATTGTGCTGCTCACTTCGATTTCTTACAATTTACCTTTACACCAGCTAACGTCTCGTTCAAAGTAGGTGATTGTCAGGCATATGTAACACATGTTCCGAACACCTCGGTCGATAGAGATTCACAGTATTATCAGCCTGTATTCCATTTCCGTCTACTACCCTACACCTAACCTTAAGATTCCTCAGTTTATCATCCCATGATTCATGCCCAATGATCCGAAGACACTTATAATAAAAATCCTCCAACCTACTTAAGCAAACTAATGGACTGTGAAGATTTTAGGGCAGATTCAAAGACCCATCAGTTCTTTATGATTTGCTAGGTTGATTGTTTGACTAGATACTATTCATTTTGATTTTTATTATCACCTATCCTTTATTGATAGATTTTCTACTGTGCTCCATACTGCTTATTCAAAATACGAGCCACATTACGTACTACAATATGCATTACAACTTACGTAAGTCTTCTATATTTCATACATCAAAATATATCTATTTTTTAAAGTATATTTTGAAATAGATAGAATGGGTTGAATGTGGTTAGCAGTAGACCTCAGGACGTGTGTTTCTACCTGTCTGGGACTGGTCATTTGGACACACCTGCATACCAATGTTGATGCTTACGCAGGACTTAAAACCAATGCATTTCGTTTGGAACGCCAACGCGTTACCCAGTTCGCGGTGTTGATGTTGATCGACAGTTCGAGGCCGTCAACATATGTGTCAGGTTCTGCGTTATTTATGACCAACTGACTGACTGAATATTCTGTTATGTTAAATACGGTAAAAGCTTTCAAGCAAAAGACCGTTTGATTTCGCTTTGTGTACACTACCGAGGTACTATAGTAGATTTGTCTAACCCATACAGTTGTTCGCTTCATTCAGTGTGCATGAAAAATTTATCAATGATCAGCTTTTTTTATCAACAATAATTTCTTTTATTTATGAGTTACATACTTTGTGAATTGGTCTCAGTTGAGTTATCATTGAAAATCATGGAAACTGGATGGCTTTTTAGTCTTAGTATGAGACTTCTTAACGCCGTACATCTATAGCCCCGTCAGTTGTCTAACCTATACTAAGATAAAACACTTGTCTATTTCCCTCTGATTTTCAAAAATACTATAATAAAGGCTAGTCTGTGACTAATACAACCTGTAATTTTAGCTAATCTTCACAAACCTTCAACTAAATTTTGTTTACTGTTTTTGTCCATATTCCATACCGTTTTTCTACAGCTCTGATGTAAACTCAGCTTGGAAGCATTTACCAGTTTTGCAATGTACAAATAAAGAAGATCAACTAGTAAGTGTGATCGATATCTGTTTAATTCTTCTTTTGCTATGTTCTTTACTCCCCTTCTAATGGAACTGTTTTAGAACTAAGGAAACAATCAACTTGGTATAAAAAACATTAGTGACGTAACAGAGCTCGTTAAATTGTGACAATTCTCTCATGAAATTAAAACCTAAGCCATCAAATGAATAAATTTCTGAAGACGAAACCCCTAGTCGGTTGGCCAAATTTATGCAGGTTATATTTGTCACAAATTGTTTTCTAGTATAGGGGTTGTGGAGATTATTAAGTTTTGATTGAGATCTTGAACCAATTGATGTTAGACCATCACAATTGAAAACCTGGAAGCACTGGACGGCCGTTTCGTCCTATTGTGGGACTCCTCAGCAGTGCGCATCCACGACCCCGCGAGCGGGATTCGAACCCAGGGCCTTCGGTCTCGCGCGCAAACACTGAACCGACATCTAACGGTGTTAATGTCTGACTTCCACAAATCCACGATATTACGCGACCGTTCATGATTGTCGTCAGTGAGTAACTGTCTCACAACAGATACAGTTGAACTACACTGCTCACGGTTTCTCATTAAATTTCCAGGAAATCCATCTTGAAGTTAGTCACTAGTGAGTACATAATAATTTAATAGTAAAATAATCGATTAGAATAAAATAACTTGTTCAAATGTTTTCAAAAGGATAGAAATGATTATCAATAGAATAATCAATTTAATTCTTTATCATTGTTAGACAAATCATTAAATTTTGGTAATCAGCAGAGAAATCTACAATACTAGTAGTTCATTTCATCTTGTATGAAATTAGTTCATTTCGTTCACATACTGTTTACTATGTTGATCGAATACTTAAGATTGTAGCAACGGTAGAACGTCACTATTGAAACAAATCGAACAAAACTTACATTGGTACACTGCCTCATAGTAATTCTGTTCAATCGGTTCAAAGTCATAGTCTGTAAGAGTTAGAAAATATCCAGTGCTTATGCATACCTAATCAAATTCATCTTCATTATATGATTGACATATTTATATTTATTTAAACACATAAACATTGATACAAGGAGGCACCAAGTAGATATATGCCACATAAATCATTCGATTTGTGTGAGGTTCGCAAACCTAAGCAGATGGTTTTCTTAAGGGATCACACTTGGAGCCTTCAACCTAAAGGTCCGATCCACAAGACAGTAGAGCAACGTAAAGAGATACAGTCCCATGGTAGCCGGTGGCCAACAATTGGTTCATACTCCATTTGTTCCCTAAGGATCCTGGAAACCATGTGACCATTGGTTTGGAATTAGGGTTTTCCAAATTCCCTTGTAGGATCCTCCATATCCACCAACCCGACTAAAGTGCCGGACATTTGTTTATCGTTCGCTCCATTTCGCAAACAGTAATGCCGCGATAAGGCAGTGAGTAGGACAGTGGGTGTATGCACGTGGCCATGTGAGAGCATTTCGCGAGGGAGAGCTGACTCTCCCCACTTTCTACCGTACCAGGACATTTGGGGGCATGATTGACATATTAATCAAAGCGATGCTGTAACTAGTCGCATATACTCATTTACGAATGTATAAATAGTATTTAGATCACTTCTGAAAATAGTTTATTATTAAAAATAGTTAAATTCCTGATCAACCATCAGGGTAACAACTGAAATACAAAGTGTTTTAACCATCTACTGACGTTAGTAGGTCGTAAGTTCTGACACTCCACTTCATTTGCTTCAGTTTCAACAACCCGTATGTATCATTATCTCTCATGTATCTCAGAAAGCCACAAATATATTAACCGTGTACTTAAGTTACATGCTGAGATTCTTCTTCATTGTCACAACAGTAATTCGTCGCACTAAGGTGATTATTTAGAGTATTCTGAACAGTACGAATATTTTTTGCTAACCATAATATAATATATGTGGAAAAAGATAATGATATCTGAAACATAATTTTTTGATTGAGATCATGAACCGATTGATGTTAGACCACCACCTTTGGAAACCTGGAATCACTGGACGGCCGTTTCGTCCAATTGTGGGACTCCTCAGCAGTGCGCATCCACGATCCCGCACGCGGGATACTATGAGCTTAGTCGTATGAGTATTGAAATTAGATGTTGTGAATAATTTCGCAATATGTGAAGGATTTAATATGATTCTAAGATAAAAATGGTACTTATATTTGAAAACTTTATATCTGTAACCGCCTATCATTTGATATAACAATACAAACTAACCAATTAATAACTGGTTGATTATGTATAAAATGTAGGATGAGGTTGTTTAATATCGCTTTCAATGTTCAATGACCTATTTGTCTTCCTTAAATAAGTGTACTAGATTGTTCTAATTTGTAGTTTGCTTTGTTAAATTATAATTACTTTGATTCTTTTCATTATATATATACTTTACTTACGCCTGTTACTCCTCATGGAGGAGCATAGGCCGCCTACCAGCACTCATTATATATATATATCTTGTCTTTATCTACTTCTTCAGATACGTCTATTCATCTTTCTAGCGTCTAGAAATGTACTTGCCTCATGTTTACGTTTAATGGGAATCGAACCGTTGAGTGCGATATAACAGTAATTATTATTATTATGAAAAACGAATCCTTTCATGCTTGAGTTCATATATCAGTGTATAATACAGATTGATTAAACTAAATCCACTCTTTTTCTTTACTTACATTTTTCCCTTTTCTATGTACAATTATCATTTATTGTTTATGATAAATTATTTTTGTCAATTGTATGTATTTTACTAGGTGTCATTGGACTTTTACCAAGCAACTGGGGTCAACAGATTACTTATGGTACACTGTAGAATTCTCAGTACAAATTATTTCAACATGTTTCTTTTTCTTATTTCTTGATCGATCCTTGCGATAAATATTGAGTGGTTGCCAGTTAAATGTTAGCAGTTCAGGACTCGATATCTGAATATTGTATATTCTTTACGATGTATATTACCAGCAACCACGTTGTCTCTGATTGGGCTCTTTTGTAAATTTTGTAGTGAAATGTGCGTAAACTTTAGACAAACGCACCTGAATAGGTTGTGAGATTGATAGGCATAATGATGTGTCAAAACAAACAAGCGAAAAGATAACTTGTTGAAATATCCAGGTGGCAGGAACAGGTAGCCCAGGCGGTTTTCATTTGCACACCGCGAAACTATCATCTAGATGTCCCTGAAAAGAATACTGGGCTAGTTTTATTCCTGACGAACCGTAAGCGTGTCTACTGAGTGCAAGAAGCAACTCTCTAGGGTAGGTCATACACAATATTTTCGTGGGCAACTGATGTATTATCTTCGTTCCTTAAAGGTCTTACCTCTAAAGATAGAAATCTGTCATTCAAGGTAAAGTGTACCATATTTAGAAATCGTGTTTTCTGACCTTTTTCTGTTGTGGAAAAGTATCATCGGTGTAGATGAAGGTTGTATACTCTAGTCACGACCCACTACAGTCAGCAGTACCATTTCACTCTCGGACCTTCATTTACTGCTTTCAGTCTTGCTGTATGGCAATGCCTAAAGGAAAAATCGTTTTAGTCAACATAGTTCAAATAAGTCATTAAGATAACCATGCCTGAATATTAAATACCATCTGATTGTCTGATTCTCATTGTTGTGTTCAATTTTGTCACCAACAAATTTTGAATGAATGAATTTAAGCATTGTATTCTTTATAAGTTGGTTAACTGAATGCCATTTTAATTTTTAGCATTTTCCACTACATAACGCAATTATAAACTGAGAATTTTCGCTTGCGGCTACATCCATCAAATATATTAAGCCAAATATTGATCACAATATCCTGTAATTGATCTCAGAGTTTTTTTATTCGTCTGGTTTGTATAGTTGATAGTTGAACGAATTAAGCATTTGACTTTCAACAACTTCGTTATGTAGTCCAACCCTAGCCTACCTCAATACTTACACAATTAAGCAATCAGTCAATATGTAATGAACGGAAACATAGATGGGGACTAACAAATGTATTTTAATAAAATTACAGAGTTATTTTCTAAAATATAGAAACCATACGTCCAATCCGCCATTTGAAAAATTTCCAGTAATTGTCTCAGACTTTGTTGTTCCTTCATTTTTACACCCATTACTATTTGTTCCTACGCTCTTTTATTTGATGTTCCCAACCTTCTACTGCCAGGTTTTCCACTTCCCATTGGTGTTGCATGCTACTTATATCTATCGACACACATTTATAGTTAAGTTCTATTATAGTGGCAAACCAATCAGGAGCAACTCAGCCATTTCAAAGTTACGGGGCACTTTATCAGTCACATACTTATTAATCTTATTACTTAACATTAGGTTATTGAGGAATTCACTGACGTGTGATTGTGAATGTTAACAGGTTGTAAGAAAATGCAAAACACTGGAATGAAGTGAAATTTCATTGTGATATCCATTTATGAAAAAACGTACCAAGGAAAAAAGTCTTTTTTCTCGTCTACAGTCGAGACGTGAAGGAGTAATGCTTCTTATAATGCCCTGAGCGATAGGATCCAAATTACTTCCTATAGCTGCCTTGATAAATATGTAAGAACGAATTATGCAGCTTATCTTTGAACAATCGGATTTCATAGTGTATAGCTTTGTGTAGCAATTATTAATTTCGCGATGATGGATAGTGGCTAGCAATGGAATCCAGGACGCGCGTTTCGTCCATCATTGCTTACAAATAGCTTGTGAATTAAGGCAATATCGAGGCATACGCACTGTATGAACGTATGCCGATAACAGACTGATCAATTGCAGTCTTAAACCTCAATGGGAAGATGCAAGCCAAATAATACCAAGTGAATTGAAATTCACACCATTGCACAAACCAGTGGTTATCAGGACTCAGTAGCTGAGCGGATAACGCGTTGTCGTTTGGAGCGAATGGTACTGGGTTCGAGTCCCAGAGTGAACATCAACTCTGAGATGCAGGTGCGTCCGGCTGACGAGTCCCAAATAGGACGAAACGTGCGTCCTGCATTCCACTGCTAACCGCTATCCATCATTGCTTACATAATTATTAATTTCCTCTAAAACTCTAATAGTTATAATAAGGTTATACAATTAAAATATGAATGGTATTTAACATGATCTAGTGTAGTGTTTGTAATAATTCAAGTACTCTCAAAGAGCGATACAATCGATGTTATATGGATAAACATCTTTATCAAAGGATTTTTCGATAGTACAACAGGAGAAACTGTAATCAACTTCATTAAGATTATATAAATCTTTTTCATTTTTATAAATGTAGACTATTTATTTTATGTTCACGTTTTCTGATTGATTAAATTCTTTTTATTGTCATTTTAAAAATTCTGTCAACTTTTGAACAACAATTAGTCTTTTGTTAAAATTCATTGGGTGGTGACCGATGTCATGTATGTCAGATCTTTCTTAGTGCAGATCGAATCCTTGTCGACCAAGTTGCAATGTGGCCATCAGTCTAGGTGACTCGACATTGCATGCACTATATTGAGATAAGATGGTGGTCGGAGATAGTCAAAACAAACTCTGGACCCAGGTTCTGTGCTGCTTGGCACTCGTCAGCAAGTTGTACCCGTAATCTTGAGAGAACTGATGCCCCCTGACGGATCTACCCAGCTTTACAGTCAGAGACATTACCACTGGGCTATCCAGGCCACGACTGAGCACCTGTAGGACTGAAATGTATTTACAAGCTAGGTGACACGTGATCGAATCCAAGTAGCACGAAACCTGGATCCAGGGTTTCCTGTTGACTATCTCCAACCACCATCCTATCTCAAAAGTTATCTCTTTACTCATTGTTAATCGATAGTTCAATTCGGTTCATGTATAATATAACCATAATTTATGTCTATTCACATACACACACATGTACATAGTCAATCAAAAAAGTGTGGTTTCATTGTAAAAAAATGTCTGTCTTACTTTCCATTTGTTTGGCTTGTTTGTTTTCAGAATTATATCTTAAGTTCCTGAAAAAAAAACCACCGAAAAATCCTTCCTTCTCATATAGTTTAGTTATTTTCATTTAGACTAATCTCGCTTCGTCATTATGGTTCGGTTCTTTCTCGTTTAACATATCAAATTCTATCTTTCTATTAATTGTTAAACAAAGAACGGAGAATGAATAGGGAAAGGCTTGTTAGCCAAGAGAATGTGGGAAAGAGTATGAAACAAGTACTAAATAAAAAGACGACATTTTACGTCTCAAACGAAAAACAATAAGCGGTTTATCTAATCATCTTACTTCTAACTGACATTTTATGATTCATATCTTGTTGTCAATGCTACTAGTAATACTACTATTATTATTGATACCAATAGTTAGTTGATTCATGACTAAAAGTCTACTACGACTAATACCTTTGTCAAAATAAATAAAAATAGATCTTGAAAAGTTGAATTCATGAGTTGATCTACGCTAGACCACCATTGAAAACCTAGAAGCAATGGACAAACGTTTCATCAGATTATGAGAATCGGCAGTGCACATCCACGATCCCGCATGCAGGACTCAAACTCAAGATCTTTGGACTTACGCGCGAACACTTAACCTCTAGATCACTGAGCCAGAATCCAAAGGTGTTAATGTCTAACTTCAATCCACTCATGAATGGTTGCGCCACCATTTATCCATCGTCTGAGGTAAATACCTGTCTCTACTCGACACGAATTGAACTCCATTGGTCACAGCTTCTTACTAGAACTCTAGTGCTTCCAGGTTTTCAGTAGTGGTCCAGCTTGCATCGACTCATAAATTTAACTATTACAATTTATCAACCAATCAGGGAAATTATTCACAAACATAGGAACAAAAATCAAACAAATGGGAGATTCAACCAAAACAAAGAAATAAACAATGACAGGTTTAAGGTCAACAAGAACCAATTAACTTCGAAGTCTACAGGACAAGCTGTGAACCACATATGGAGAAATTCGAACACTTCACTTCTATCTGAAGTTTGTGCTGATGATTTCGTTCAGAAGAGCGATGAAAGTTCCACGACCAAAACATCCAGCTCAGAGAACAAAATCATCCACCTAAGCTACAAATCTTCTCCACTATCTGAAAATCATTACTATTTTCACAAACCCCATTCTGATCATAAAAAATAAATCTGTCAAATGATAATTGGTGTCTAATATTGATGACTACTATCTTTACTGTGTGATAATTAATTTCAAGAAAGAAATTGTCACCAGGATTTATTTCTTATTTGCAATCTGCCTCTACACAAATATGTGCACACACGCACATACATGCACACGCACAACAATTACACCATCTTTATTCTGATTTCCCATTGGTATTAATTTGAATCTATCTATTTTTGTATGTATGATTAGAAAAGAGTTTAAGGTGAGAATGGTGGGGTGTTTAATGTGTCAAATTACAATAATCAGTGTACAGTTTGACCAACCAACCAATTAATCAATCAATAAAAAGAAAAGAAGAAGTAGTAAACAGGTTATCATGGAAACAATACAAAAAGAGAAAGCGATGTCAATGACATACCAAGAAATCTTCTAAAAATGTTTATGAAAAACAAAATGTCATTTTTTTTATA